ACGTCCCACTTTAAAACAACAACGTCTCACTGGACAGCAACAACGTCCCCCTAGAAAATAACAAAGTACCATATGACAATAACAACGTCCCAATGGACAATAACAACGTCCCAATGGACAATAACAACGTCTCACTTGACAATAACAACATCCTACTGGACAATAACAACTCCCCACTTCACAATAACAACGCCCCACTACACAATAGCAACGTCCCAATTGAGCAATAACATCGTTCCACTTGAAAAATCCAACGTCCCAATGGACAATAAAAATGCCCCACTGGACAACAATAATGTCCCACTGGACAATAAAAATGTCCCTCTGGACAATAACAACGTCCTACTTGACAGTAAAAACATCCCACTGGTCAATGAAAAGTCCCACTTTACAATAATAAAAATCTTTTGGACAATAATATCGTCCCACTGGACAATAACAACGTACCACTGGACAATAAAAATGTCCCTCTGGACAATAACAACGCCCCACATAACAATAACAACTTCCCATTTGACAATAACAATGTCCAAATTTACAATAAATACTTCCAACGGGACAATAACAACGTCCCACTTGACAATAACAATGCCCTACTGGAAAATAACAACGTCCAACTTGACAATAACAACGTTCCACTGGACAGTAACAAGGTCACACTTTAAAATAACAATCCCAACTGGACAATAACAACGTCCCATTGGATAATAACAACGTTCCAGTTTACAATAACAACGTCTCACTGTACAATTAAAAGTCCCACTTGTCAATAACAACGTCATAATGGACAATATCAACACCCATTTAACAATATCAACGTGCTACTTGACAATAAACACGTGCCACTGGACAATAACAAAATACCACTGGACAATACCAAACTCCCAATTGTCAGTAACAATGTTCCCACCGGACTAAAACAACGTCCTACTTGACAATAACAACGTCCCAATTTATAATCCCAATATCCCTACCAATATCAATAACATTTTTATTGATGTTGGTATTGACGTTGTTATTGATATATCAGTATCAATAATAACGTCCCACTGGACAATAACAACGTCCCAATGGACGTCCAATGGGCAATAACAACGTCCCACTGGGCAATACCAACATCCCACTGCACAATGATAACGTACCTCTTGACAATACCAATGTCTCACTGGAACATAACAACGTTCCACTGGACAAAAACAACAATAACACCGGACAGTAAAAATGTACAACTGGAAAACAAGAACGTTCAACTGGACGATAACAACATCCCTCTTTACAATAACAACGTACACTTAACAAAACCAACGTCTAACTTTTCAATAACAACATCCCCCTTTGAAAAACAACTTCTCACTTTTCAATAACAACATTCCTCTTTACAATAACAACGTTCCACTGGACATTAACAACGTACCACTGGACAATAACAACGTCCCACTGGACAATAACGTCTTACTTTACAATAACACCATACCACTGGACAATAATAACATACCACTTTACAATAACAACGTCCCATTTTATTATAACAATGTACCACTTTACAATATCAACATCCTGCTGGTCAATAACAACTTTTCACTGGACAATAACAACGTTGCACTTTAAAAGAACGTCCCACTAGAAAATAACAAAGTCCCATTTGACAATAACAACGTCCCACTGGACAAAAACAACATCCCAATGGACAATAACAACGCCAAACTCGACAATAACAACGCCAAACTAGTCAATAACAAGTCTTCACAATAACAACGTCCCACTAGTCAATAACAACGTCCCACAGGACAAGACAATAAAAACGTCTAAATGTACAACCACAAAACCCCACTGGACTGTAACAACCTCCCAGTGGACCATAAAAACGTCCCACTGGACAGTAACAACTTCACACTTTATAATAACAACGTTTAACTAGACAGTAACAACTTCACACTTTATAATAACAACGTTTAACTAGACAATAACAACGTTCTATATGACAATAATAACGTCCCAATATACAATATAAACGCAACACTAGTCAATAACAAAGTCTCACTGGGCTATAACAACTCCATTATTGGAAAGTAACAATTTCCCACTGGACAATAACAACGTCCCAAAGGACAATACTAATATCCCACTGGACAATGAAAAGTCCCACTTTACAATAACAACGTCATACTTGACAATAACAACGTCCCACTTGACAATAACAACGTCCCACTGAATAATAACAATGTTCAACTGAACAATATCAAACTCCCAATTGACAATAACAATGTTCCCACCTGACAATAATAACGTCCCAATTCATAATACCAATAGTCCTCTTGGCAATAACATTGTCCCTCTGGACAATAAAACCCCTCCCTCTGGACAATAAAAACGTCCCTCTGGACAATAACATTGTCCCACTAGACAAAAACAACGTCCCACTGGACAAAAACAACGTCACATTGGACAATACCAACGTCCCACAGGACAATAACAACATTCCACTGGAAAATAACAACGACCATCTCTACAATTCCAACGTCCCATTGGAAAAAAACAACGTCCTACTGGACAATACCCACGTTCAACTAGACAATAAGAACATCCCACTTGACAATTATAACGTCCCACATGACAATAAGAACGAGGCACTGAACAATAACATCGTCCAACTGGTCAATAGCAACATCAAACTGGACAATAAATACCTCCAAAAATGCAAAACAACGTCCCACTGGACAATGACAACGTCCTACTCGACAATAACAACATCCCACTGAACAATACCAACGTCCTACTGGACAATAACAACGTCCCACTGGACAATAAAAACGTCCTACTGTACAATAACAACGTCCCACTGGACAATAATAACATTCCACTTTATAATAACAATGTCGCACTCGACAATAACAACGTCCTACTTGATACTAACATTGTCCCAATGGACAATAACAAGTTCTCAAAGGACAATAACAATGACCCACTGGACAATATGAACATCTTACTGGAGATACTGGAGAATAACAACCTCCCACTGGACAAACACAACGTACCACTGGACAATATTAACGTACCCCTGAACAATACCAACGCCCCACTTCTCAATAACATTGTCCCAGTGGACAATAATAACGTCCCACTGGACAATATAAACGCCCCACAGGATAATAACAACGTCCCTCAAGACAATAACAACGTCACTATTGTTAATAACAACGTCACACCTGTCAATAACAACGTCCAATGGGCAATACCAACGTCCCATATGACAATATCAACGTCCGTCTTTACAATAACAACGTCCCACTGGACAATAACAACGTACCGCAGGGCAATACCAACGTCCCACTGGACAATAACAACGTCCCACAGGATAATTACAACGTCCCACTGGACAATACAACGTCCCACTGGACAATAACAACGTCCCCTTGGACATTAACAACGTCCCACTGGACAATACCAACCTACCACTTGACAATAACAACGTCCCACTTAACAATAACAACATTCCACTTGACAATAACTATGTCCCACTGGGCAATAACAACACCACTCTTGACAATAACGTCACTCCTGACAATAACAACGTCACTCTTGACAATAACAGCATCCAATGGGCAATACCAACATCCCACTGGGGAATACCAACGTCACACTAGACAATAACAACGTCCCACTTGATTTTAACAACGTCTCATTGGACAATAATAACGTATCATGGGTAATAACAACGTCCCTCTTGACAATACCAGCGCCCTACTGGACAATAATAACGTTTCACTGAATAATTGCAATGTACCACTGGCTAATAACAACGTCGAACTTGACAATAACAAAGTCCTACTTTACAATAACAACGTCTCAGTGGACAATAACAACGTCTCAGTGGACAATAACAACATCTTACTGGAGAATAACAATGTCCCACAGGACAATAACAAAGTACCACTGGACAATAACAACATACCACTTGACAATAACAACGTCTCATTGGACAATAAGAACGTTCCACTGGACAATAACAACGTCTCATTGGACAATAAGAACGTTCCACTGGACAATAACAAAAACCCACTGGACAATAACAACTTACAATTGGAAAACAACAACGTCCAACTGGACAATAGCAACATCCCACTTAACAATAACAAAGTCTCATTTTACAATTACAATGTACCTCTTTACAGTAACAACGTCTCAATTTATAATAACAACATCCCACTGTACAAAAACAATATACCACTTGACAATAACAATGTCTCACTTTATAGTAAGAACATATCACTTTTCAAACACAACGTCCCACTTTACAATAGGAACATTTCACTTTACAATATCAACGTCCCACTGGATAATAACAACGTTCCACTGGACAACACCAACATCCCACTGGACAATAACAGCGTCCCACGGGGGGCAATAATAACGTATCATGGATAATAACAACATCCCACTGGACAATAGCAACTTCGTACTGTACAATACCAACGTCCCACTGGACAATAACACTATCCCACTGGTCAATAACAAGGTCCCACTAGACAATAACAACGTCCCACAGGACAATAACAACGTTCCTCTAGACAATAACAACGTCACCATTGACAATAACAACGTCACACCTGACAATAACAACGTCCAATGGGCAATGCCAACGTCCCACTGGACAATAATAAGGTATTACTTGATTCTAACAAGGTACCACTGGATAATACCAACTTTCCACTTGACAATAATAACGTCCCTCTTAACAATAACAACGTCCCACTGGACAATAACAACGTCCCACACGACAATACCAACGTCCCACTGGACAATAACAACGTCCCACAGGATAATTACAACGTCCTACTGGACAATAACAATATCCCACTTTACAAAACCAATGTACCACTTAACAATAACAACATGCCACTGGACAATAACTATGTCCCACTGGGCAATAACAACGTCACTCTTGACAATAACGTCTCTCCTGACAGTAACAACGTCACTCTTGACAGTAACAACATCAAATGGGCAATAACAACATCCCACTGGGGACTACCAACGTCCCACTTGATAAGAACAACGTCCCAATGGACAATAATAACGTATCACTTGACAATAACAGCGTCCTACTGGACAATAATAACGTATCACTGGATAATTACAATGTACCACTGGCTAATAACAACGTCCCACTTGACAGTAACAACGTCTCAGTGGACAATAACAACGTCTCAGTGGACAATAACAACATCTTACTGGAGAATAACAATGTCCAACGGGACAACAACAACGTACCACTTGACAATAACAACGTCTCATTGGACAATAAGAACGTTCCACTGGACAATAACAAAAACCCACTGGACAATAACAACTTACAATTGGAAAACAACAACGTCCCACTGGACAATGACAACATCCCACTTTACAATATTAACGTCTCATTGTACAATTACAATGTACCTCCTTACAGTAACAACGTCTCAATTTATAATAACAACATCCCACTGTACAAAAACAATATACCACTTGACAATAACAATGTCTCACTTTATAGTAACAACATATCACTTTTCAAACACAACGTCCCACTTTACAATAGGAACATTTCACTTTACAATATCAACGTCAAACTGGACAATAGCAACATCACACTGGACAATACCAACATCCCACTGAACAATAACATCGTACAACGGGACAATAATAACGTATCACTGGATAATAACAACGTACCACTGGACAATAACAACATCCCACTGGACAATAACAACATACCACTGGACAATAACATCATCCCACTGGACAATAACAACGTCGTACTGTACATTACCAACGTCCCACTGGACAATAACAACGTCCCACTGGACAATAACAACGTCCCACTGGACAATAACAACGTACCACTGGACAATAAAAACATATCACTGGATAATAACAACGTACCACTGGACAATAACAACGTACCACTGGACAATAAAAACATATCACTGGATAATAACAACGTACCACTGGACAATAACAACGTACCACTGGACAAAAACAATGTCCCACTTGACAATAACAACATACCATGGGTTCTTCACACACATAACTCCTCAGTGAACTCCGTGTAAAGCATTCAGTAACGTTAATTATTTCCATTACAAGGTAATGTGCTGTTAGTGAGGACGTTTATAGCCAGAGCGATCACGATGTGAGAGTCTCGATTGGTGCGTTGCGTTGCTAACAGGTTGCAAGTGGGAAATGGCAATGCTAATGGAAACAGGGATCGTGTTTGCGAATTCAAGAAGTGTTGTGGGTCTTGCTGGTAATGGGGAATGGGGGGCCGAGTTACTGTTTTGTAGATGGAGAATGAAGCATTACTGTACGACTAAATGTTGATCAGGAGTTGGTGCTGTTTTGTTTGAGTGGCTTGTGATGAAGACTGGAAGCTGTTTTGTTTGTGTGGCTTGTGAAGCAGCTGGAAGCTATTTTGTTTGAGTAACTTGTGATGGCGACTGGAAGCTCTTTGTTTGTGTGGCTTGTGGTGGTGACTGGAAGCTGATTTATTTGTGTGGCTTGTGGTGGTGACTGGAAACTGTTGATTAAGAATGTTAAAACTAGTTGGTGATGGAGAACATCACGTTTAGAGTTATACCCCAGTATCCTGAGGGTATAACTCTCCCAGGGTACGGGGAAGTTACACCGGGTACCCTGGGGGTATAACTCTCCCAGGGTACGGGGAAGTGGTCGCGCTCGCCACCCATCAACATCTATGTTCCACAAAAGCCCGCTTGGGGCTGGCAGCCTTCCGAAACCTTGCGTTGATCCTTCTCCGGGGCCTTGTGGTCAGAGGACAGAGCGCCTTGCTCCCGTCTGCTACACCAGAATATTCAATTTCCTAAAGAATTCTCATGAGTCATCTTATAGTGAAAGTGGAGTATATCCTGTAGAGAGAGATGACCTTTCTTAGGATTCAACAATCAACAGTTAACTAGGTATAATAGGAATAATTACATCAGGTGTAAGGAAACGCTGTTGAAACGACCCTCTTCTTTCGTGGGTTTCGAACCTGGGATCTCTTGCAGTGACCCGACTGTCCTAACTGCCATTGTCATGGTGTTGAGATGCCTTGAATGAAACATTGATGGCGGAGTGCAGTGATCTGCAATGATTCAAAAGTAGCATTACAAAGCCTTACTAAAAATCGGGCAGAAAATCTTGCGATAGTCGCTGAAATTAAGAGAACTGTGAGGGTACTAACCAACCCAGGGAAGAGTCGTCAAGTTTCTGCGGACTTCCTCCCATGTGGAATCTGTGGAAATAAATGAGCAGATGTGCTGGCTGCTGAAGGCAGTGAAAGAGACCATATTGAATACTTCATACCCAAGACTCTTCTACAAATTAGAGGCATTGTCAGGCAACATCACCGTGACAAGGTAACTGAGGAAAGAATGATAGAAGCATAAATCAGTGAATCTGTACACTAGTACAATATGGTTGCAGCTGGCAATCCCAATCATTATGAACGAAGGAGGTGGCCGCGGGGGAAATTCATTAATAGCATGAATCCATCTTGGATAAAAATATCCATAGAGAATCGGAATGAAAACGACAGTTGAGCAGCGGAGTTGCAGAATCTGTGGTGAGAGTGATGCACACCGTCTTGACCACTACCTGAGAGTGTGGCCATCTAAGAGTCATTAGAAATATGTGTAGAGTAATAAACCCCACATTCTTGGAGTTAGGACAATATTATTTGTCATATATTGATACTGTTCTTTAAAGGTTCCCCCATTTTACACACACAAAGGATAACGTAAGATTTTAATGGTTGATAATGTTAATCTTCTTGTTTGAGAAGCTGTTAACTTGAGACAGTTAAGCAAGTCCCAGCTGTGTCTGGGTACAAGTGACAGGATGAACAACCCAGCAAGTTTTCTTCTTATTGGGGAGTGTTGTACATGCTGCTATTGCAGTATGTCCACTCACAGGATGAGTAGCGCTACCCAATAAACTCGTTCCTTGGGGCATAATAAAAAATAAATAAAAAAATACTATGGATTCCTAATGTAACGCTGCTTTATTTGACAGATGTGTATTAGGGGTGGTGATGGGTAATGGGCTGTGTGGTGTCTTCGTGGTGATGGGTAATGGGGTCTCTTGTGTGTCTGGGTGGTGATGGGTAATGGGCTGTGTGGTGTCTTCGTGGTGATGGGTAATGGGGTCTCTTGTGTGTCTGGGTGGTGATGGGTAATGGGGTCTCTTGTGTGTCTGGGTGGTGATGAGTAATGGGGTCTCTTGTGTGTCTTCGTGGTGATGGGTAATGGGGTTTGTGGTGTGTCTGGGTGGTGATGGGAAATGGGGTCTGTGGTGTTTCTGGGTGGTGATGGGAAATGGGGTCTCTGGTGTGTCTGGGTGATGATGGGTAATGGGGTCTCTTGTGTGTCTGGGTGGTGATGGGTAATGGGGTCTCTTGTGTGTCTGGGTGGTGATGGGTAATGGGGGTCTGTGGTGTGTCTGGGTGGTGATGGGTAATGGGGTCTCTTGTGTGTCTGGGTGGTGATGGGTAATGGGGTCTCTTGTGTGTCTGGGTGGTGATGGGTAATGGGGTCTGTGGTGTTTCTGGGTGGTGATGGGAAATGGGGTCTCTTGTGTGTCTGGGTGGTGATGGGTAATGAGGTCTGTGGTGTTTCTGGGTGGTGATGGGAAATGGGGTCTCTTGTGTGTCTTCGTGGTGATGGGTAATGGGGTCTCTTGTGTGTCTTTGTGGTGATGGGTAATGGGGTCTGTGGTGTTTCTGGGTGGTGATGGGCAGGGGACAGTGGTGTGTCTGGGTGGTGATGGGTAGGGGCCAGTGTTGTGCCTGGGTGGTGATGGGTAGGGGTCAGTGTTGTGTCTCGGTGGTGATGGGTAGGGGCCAGTGGTGTGTCTGGGTGGTGATGGGTTAGGGCCAGTGGTGTGTCTGGGTGGTGATGGGTAGGAGCCAGTGGTGTGTCTGGGTGGTGATGGGCAGGAGCCAGTGGTGTGTCTGGGTGGTGATGGGTAGGAGCCAGTGGTGTGTCTGGGTGGTGATGGGTAGGAGCCAGTGGTGTGTCTGGGTGGTGATGGGTAGGAGCCAGTGGTGTGTCTGGGTGGTGATGGGTAGGAGCCAGTGGTGTGTCTGGGGGGTGATGGGTAGGAGCAAGTGGTGTGTCTGGGTGGTGATGGGTAGGAGCCAGTGGTGTGTCTGGGTGGTGATGGGTAGGAGCCAGTGGTGTGTCTGGGGGGTGATGGGTAGGAGCCAGTGGTGTGTCTGGGTGGTGATGGGTAGGAGCCAGTGGTGTGTCTGGGTGGTGATTGGTAGGAGCCAGTGGTGTGTCTGGGGGGTGATGGGTAGGAGCCAATAGTGTGTCTGGGTGGTCATGGGTAGGAGCTAGTGGTGTGTCTGGGTGGTGATGGGCAGGAGCCAGTGGTGTGTCTGGGTGGTGATGGGTAGGGGCCAGTGTTGTGCCTGGGTGGTGATGGGTAGGGGCCAGTGTTGTGTCTCGGTGGTGATGGGTAGGAGCCAGTGGTGTGTCTGGGTGGTGATGGGTAGGAGCCAGTGGTGTGTCTGGGTGGTGATGGGTAGGAGCCAGTGGTGTGTCTGGGTGGTGATGGGTAGGGGCCAGTGGTGTGTCTGGGGGGTGATGGGTAGGAGCCAGTGGTGTGTCTGGGTGGTGATGGGTAGGAGCCAGTGGTGTGTCTGGGGGGTGATGGGCAGGAGCCAGTGGTGTGTCTGGGTGGTGATGGGCAGGAGCCAGTGGTGTGTCTGGGTGGTGATGGGTAGGGACCAGTGGTGTGTCTGGGTGGTGATGGGTAGGAGGACCCTGGTGGATGAGATGATGACAACGGTGGTTGTGTTGTGCTCGGCTGTTGACATAATATTAACAGTGTCAACATTCCATAATTATTAATATGTAATCATATGTTGCCGCTAAACACACAAACAACATTGTTTACGTAGCCAGAACAATGTAAACAAACAATTGATTGGAACGACCGGCTTGTTTGTGTTTGGGGTCCTGTGGCAGAGTGGTCAGCGCCGTCGAGTCCCAGCTAAAACCTCCTGGGAGGTAGGCAGCTGTTGTGGGTTGTATTATATTGAAAAGTCACCAGTTGTTGGCTCAGAAGGACCTCGATGAGCATGCTATGCGAAACGTTTCCATAGGCGTCAGACCATAATTATAGTGTGAAAATGAAGTATTGAGAGTAAAATTTTTCGACTTTCCTCGACAGTGAAGTAAAACATAAGAAATATTGAGAAGATTCGTGTTAGAAGCATTAATCTTACCCTTTCGGTCATATTTAACATAATATTTTCGTAATTGAACAATACGTGTTAAACAATACATGAGGTGATACAGGGAAGACTTTTCATTAAAATTTAATGTCCACAGAAAGTAAAGCTACGAATAATTTACCATATGTTCATTATTTTTCAGGGCATAGATACAATGTGAAAATATCTATTTTCTTCGTTGTGTATCTAAGAGTTCTTCGGTCTGTTAGTCCAGAACTCTTAAATGCAGAGTTTAAGAATATTGATTCTATTGGTCTCAAGCTTTGTCATGCACTGATTTTTTTGGATGCTTGCCGTAGCAAAGCACGTCGTACATATTATAATAATATATGCATTGAGAAAATTCGCCCAAAGAATGTGTTGTGATACCCTATTTTTCTGGGTTTGAAATTAAGGTCTAGGCCTTGAAACTTTTTGATATACATGTATTGTTTAATTACGAAAATACTGTTGGTAATCAATTAGTTAGAAACAGCCCTCGTAGTGATAATTGTGTCATTTATAAAATACCTTGTAAAGACTGTAATAGGTTCGATGTTGGACAAACATCTAAAGATTTGAAATTTAGAATTTCGCAACATAAATACTCTGTTAGATATGACGAATTGTCTAATGCTTTGTTTGTTCATTTGTTAGAAAATTCTCACCAAATTGATTGGGAGATGGGTTCTTCAAAAACGAATGGTAAAAGTACTTTCAATAGGAACATAATTGAATCTGCTTTAATTCATATTGCAAAATCATGTAATTTGAACACTAGCAGTGGATTATATAATTTAGATACATTTTTGATTGATCAGTTACAGGGGTGAT